GTCCGTGCGCCCCTCCCCAGGCTGAGTCGGGGGGGGCGACTGAGGATCGCGGCGAGGCAAAGAGAAGGGGGGCAGTCGTGCGCCCCTCTCCAGGCTGATTCAGTGGCGCGGCGCTGAAAGAAGGGGGCCGTGCGCCCCTCCCCACGGTGAGTCGGGGGGCGGCTGAGGATCGGGGCGAGGCTGAGAGTAGGGGGGCCCTGCGCCCCTTCCCAGGCTGAGTCGGGCAGGCGGCTGAGGATCGGGGGGGGGGCGAGGCTGAGAGAAGCGAGGGTCCGTGCGCCCCTCCCCAGGCTGAGTCGGGGGGGCGCTGAGGATCGGGGCGAGGCTGAGAGTAGTGGGGTCCGTGCGCCCCTCCCCAGGCTGTGTCGGGGGGGTGGTGGCTGAGAATAGGGGGGAAGCTGAGAGAAGGGGGGCTGTGTGCTCCTCCCCAGGCTGTCGGGGGGGCGCTGAGGATCGGGGTGAGGCTGAGAGAAGCGGGGGAGCCATGCACCCCTCTGCAGGCTGATTCAGGGGGGTGCCGCTGAGAGAAGGGGTCCGTTCGCCCCTCCCCAGGCTGACTCAGGGGGGCGCCACTGACAGTTCGGGGGGAGTGTGGAAGATTGGGGTGGCCCTCCCCAGGCTGCGTCCGGGAGGGCGGCTGGGGGGCATTGCTGACAGAAGGAGATCCGTGCGCCCCGAGCCAGGCTGAGTCAGGGGTAGGTGGGGGAGCAGAGTAAGGCTGAGAAGGGGGTCCGTGCACCCCGAGCCAGGCTGAGTTGGGGGGTGGCTGGAGGAGCGAAGGGGGTCCTTGCACCCCTAGCCAGGCTGAGTTGGGGGGCACCTGGAGGATCAGGGCACCGCTGAGAGAAAGGGGTCTGACTGAGTCGGGGCATCTGGAGGAGCAAAAGGGGGGTGCATGCGCCCCGAGAGAGGCCGGCATGGAAGGGGGCCGCCCGTCCAGCCTGCAGGTCTTCGCCGTCTCCTCCTCGCTGCACGGCGTGAGCCACATCTTCGCCTACGGCTCGCTCTCCCTGCGCCGCGGCCTCTGGGCCCTCTTCTTCCTGGGCTCGCTGGCCCTGCTGGCGCTGGTGTGCGCCGAGCGCGTCGGCTACTTCTTCCGCTACCCGCACGTCACCAAGCTGGACGAGGTGGCCGTCGCCAACCTCACCTTCCCGGCCGTCACCCTCTGCAACCTGAACGGCTTCCGCTTCTCCAAGCTCAGCCGCAACGACCTCTACCACGCCGGGGCCCTGCTGGCCCTGCTGGACGCCCGCCACGAGGTCAGCGGCGCCCACCTGGCTGACCCGGAGACCCTGGCCGCTCTGCGGGACAAGGCCAACTTCCGGGGCTTCAAGGCGGGCCCCTTCGACATGGCCGAGTTCTACGACCGGACGGGCCACGACCTGGCCGAGATGCTCTGGCACTGCAGCTTTCGGGGGATCAACTGCAGCGCCCGCAACTTCTCGGTGGTGAGTCTGGGGGTGACGAGGGCCCAGGCGGGAAGAACGGGGACGGTGGGCTGAGACGGGGAGAACAATTTTGCGACCACAATGGCGCCCGGAATCCAGGTGGTTCGGCGAGACATTCCTTAAGTCGCGCCCCGTTTGACGCACGTCCGCGCCACCTTTGCGAAGGGAATCGCGGCTGTGGTCAAATCGGTCGCACGGTCGTTAAGCGAATCGGGCTTCCCCCCCTCCCCTTTGACTTTGCCCCTCAACTGCGACCGTCGTAAATGCGAGTCGGTGGTGAAGCGCCCGGATGCACATCACCGGTCCTGCGGGGGATTCTGCCAACGGTCGTCAGGGGGGGGGAAACGGGTTTCTTTTTTTTTCAGCGGCGTAACTTTCAGCGGTCACTAAACGAACCGTCATAAGTCGAGGATGGCCTGTATTCACCGGCTCTGGGCTGTTCGGGGGAGGGTTGGTCTCGGGCTGAGCAGCAGAGAGAAAAATGGGGGCGGGGGAAGAATTGGGGAGGAGGGGGGCTGCCACGGGGGGGGCTGTCCGGAAGCCCCTGTGAGGTCAGCAGGAAGGAGGGGAGGAGCCTAGCTGGGCCAGAAGCCCCTCCCCCCAACCAGGAAAGAGCCCATTCTCCCGGAGGTGGAGGAGTGGATTTGAGGGGGGGGGGTAGGCTGCTTAAGTCTTGGACCCCTGCTTTCCCCAGCAGAGTGATGCTTTGGAGCACTGGACCAATCAGGAGAGGGGAGGGGGGGCAGTAGCCCCCACCACCCTCAGGCCTCATCAGTGCGTAGGAGACCCTTGGGTGCCAAGGCCTGGAGGGAGACTACTCACTTTCTGCCCTTGTCTGAAAGGGTCTGGGGTCTCCTGCTCGAGCAGGGGGCTGGACTAGATGACCTCCGAGGTCCCTTCCAACTCTTATTCTATTATTCTATAAGGGTCTCCTGATTCAGCAGCAATGGGTTGGACTAGATGACCTCCGAGGTCCCTTCCAACTCTTATTCTATTATTCTGTAAGGGTCTCCTGATTCAGCAGCAATGGGTTGGACTAGATGACCCCCGAGGTCCCTTCTGACTCTTACTCTACAATTCTGTAAGGGTCTCCTGCTCGAGCAGGGGGTTGGACTAGATGACCTCCAGGGTCCCTTCCACCTCTATTCTGATTGATTGATTGAAATGGTCTAGGGTCTCCTGTGTGAGCAGGGGGTTGGACTAGATGACCTCTGAGGTCCCTTCCAATTCTTATTCTGATTCTGTAAGGGTCTCCTGTTCAAGCAGGGGGTTGGACTAGGTGACCTCCAGGGTCCCTTCCAACTCTTATTCTATTATTCTGTAAGGGTCTCCTGCTTGAGCAGCAATGGGTTGGACTAGATGACCTTCGAGGTCCCTTCTGACTCTTACTATATGATTCTGCAAGGGTCTCCTGCTTGAGCAGGGGGTTGGACTAGATGACCTCCAGGGTCCCTTCCAATTCTTATTCTATGATTCTGCAAGGGTCTCCTGCTTGAGCAGGGGGTTGGACTAGATGACCTCCAGGGTCCCTTCCACCTCTATTCCGATTGATTGCTTGAAATGGTCTAGGGTCTCCTGCGTGAGCAGGGGTTTGGACTAGACCTCCGAGGTCCCTTCCAACTCTTAATTCTATGATTTTGTAAGGGTCTCCTGCTCAAGCAGGGGGTTGGACTAGATGACCTCCCAGGCCCCTTCCTGTTCTCTTCTGATTCTGATCCCCAGATTCTTTCTCCCCCCCCGCCCCTCGGTCTTCCAGTGGCCGAGCATCGCCGGACCCCCTCCTCTTCCCAGGTCTCTGGCCCCAAAGGCTCCTTGGGGGGGTGGGGTGGAAGGGGGGTCACCCCTCTGAAGCCCCCCCATCTCAGCCCCTTTGGCTGGACTGCCCCCCCCAGCAGGCCAGAGGGAGCCCTTGTTTTAATTGCAGGGGGGTCTCCGTCTGCCCCCTAAGCGGAGGAGGGGGGGTCCCTCTGTCTGGGAGGGGCCCTTGCCCCCCTCTTTCGGGGTGTGTGTGTCTAGGCTCAAATCGGAAAGGGGGCAGATAGCAAGGGTGGGGGGTCTCCCTTTAAGGGGGGGTCTCTCTTTGGGGGGTCTCCCTTTGGGAGCTGTGGGGGGGCGCTTACAGGGCGGGACCAGCTGAAGAGAGTTGAGGCAGCCGTCAATCCAGGGAAGGATCGGGGGGGGCTTAAGGGGGGGTCCGCTCTTTTAAAGAGGTGGGGGCTCCTGGCTCCTCGGCACTTGGGACCCCCCCTCGGCTGCAGAGATGGAGCGTGCCCCCCCGCCCGTCTCAAGCCAACCACCGTTTCTCCCCAGAGAGACCCAAGGATTGGGCTGGAGGGAAGGGGAGGATTCGAACGCAAGCCTCCAGCCTCGGGAGCAGTCTACCCCCTCTTTCCCAGGAGGCTCGTTTGCACCCCCACCAGGCAGCTGATTCCGTCTGGACGGGCACCTACCACGCGTCCTGCTGCCCCTCGCCACCCAGGGCTCCGGGCGCCACTCGAACTCGCATCCCAGCCAGGCCGAGGGATTCTTCCGGACCTGCTCGGATGGCCCCCCCATTTCCCCCCACCACCATCTTTGGCACCCGGTCCATCTGCTCTTCTGGGGCTTGTCGGTTGCCATGGTGATCTTCCCATCTCTCGGAGGCGGCGGGAGACGGTTGCTATGGCGGCATCTCCGGCAGGGAAGGACCTACCTGCCCTCCCCCTTTGGCCCCCCTCCTCCTGCTCCTGCTCCTCCTCCTCCTCTTCCTGCTCCTCTCCACAATCCCCCTCCCTTCTGGCATTGATGATGTTCCCTAGTTGGGTCATGAGACGTTGGCAAGAGACGTCGCCCATTGTGTGCCACGAGGCACGGCGTTGGGCCGTTTTCGCGCCCCGAGGTCTGGCAAGGGGCCCATTGATGCTCTCCGAACCGCGGCATTGGCCTCTTTTTCCGCACCTTAATGGCATCCTGTTTTTGCGCCCCGGGGTGTGGCGGCATCCCGTGTTTGTGCCCCAAGGCGCAGCAGCGGTCCGTTTTGGCGCGGTGCGGCATCCTGTTTCCGTGCCCCACGGCCACGGCGCTAGCCTGAGTGGGGGGGTGTGCGCGCACACATGCACGCACCGCCCAGTGTGTCCCGCAGCCCGGTGGCCAGCAGTCCACGGGCCGCTTCCGTTCCACGATCCACGGGCTGGGGACCCCTGCTGTAACTGCGTCTGGAGGGTCCACCTTCAGAGAGGCGCCCCTATAGAGCAGCGTTTTTCTCAGCCCGGGCGATATTTAAGCCGGCTGGATTTCATTTCCCAGAATTCCCCCCAGCACGCCTGTCTTAAAAGTGCCGCAATCTTTTGCGGACTGGCCGGGGAGAGGAAGGGACGTCTCTGTGCCCGCGTGCACACCTCCATTTGCGCAAACGGAGGCCTCTTCCGCGGCCCGGTTCTGAACGGGCCGTGGACCGGTAGTGGGCCGCGGCTCGGGAGTTGTGGACCCCTGCACAATCCAATCGAAAGCATAAAGTAATCTCTCTCCTTGATGTATCCTTCGGCGTAGCACGCCGAGCGACGGGTCGGCCGAGAGTCCTCGCAACTCGGTTGCCGTGATCATTTACGGCCGAGGTGTCGGCAGCCCCCAAACGGAGGCCGTTTATCACTTCGCACGTCCCATTGGGACTTGGGTGTTGGTCTAACTGCTTTGTCATCGGTCTGGCACATCCAGTTCGCACCCGCAGAGAGTTCTGGGCCAAGCCGGGGGATCCGATGCATCCCCCCCACCCCCCGCTGTAGCACGTAGAGCTCCTTGAGATCTAGCGTGATGCCCTAGCCGCTAGAAAACGCCTCTCCGGGGAGCAGGGGAAGTTTTAAGAAGCTAAATTTGACCTTCTGGTTTTTCTTTGAAGAGCTTTTCACTTCTCATCCCAGAGGCTTCTTCAGCTCTGACCGGATGGCGGGGGAATGGAAGGATTTATCCTCCTCGCAGACAGTTGGTCATTTGCATTATTTTAGAGAGGCGCTGAGGCCACTTGGAGATTTATCTGTGTCATGATGGGACTTTCTTATTATTCTTTGAAGACGTTTCACTTCTCATCCCGAGAAGCTTCTTCAACTCTGACTGGATGGTGGGGAATGGAAGGATTTATCCTCCTCGCAGACCGCTGGTCATTTGCCTCCTTTTGGAGAGTCGTTGAGGCCACTTGGATGTTTATCTGTGTCATGATGGGACTTTCTTATTATTCTTTGAAGACGTTTCGCTTCTCATCCCGAGAAGCTTCTTCAACTCTGACTGGATGGTGGGGAATGGAAGGATTTATCCTCCTCGCAGACCGCTGGTCATTTGCCTCCTTTTGGAGAGTCGTTGAGGCCACTTGGAGATTTTTCTGTGTCGGAGGGATACGACACCACCCAACAACAACACGCTCCTTTCAGCCCTTCCGAGAAGCCTCCACACCCATTCGCGCCGTTTAGGTGACCCCGAGGGCACAGATAAACTCCCCAAGTGGCCTCAGTGACTCTGTAAAAGAGTGCAAATGACCAGCTGTCTTCCAGGAATATAACCCCCCCCATTCCCCCCCGTTCAGTCTGGAACTGAAGAAGCTTCTTGGGGAGAAGGGAAACATCTTCGCGGGGAAGACAAACCAAGCTGTGACTGGATGGTGGGGAACGGGAGGATTTATCCTCCTTGCAGACCGCTGGTCATTTGTCTCCTTTTGGAGAGGCGTTGAGGCCACTCGGTTGTTTATCTGTGTCCTTGTGGGACTTTCTTATTATTCTTTGAAGACGTTTCGTTTCTCATCCCAGAGGCTTCTTCAGCTCTGACTGGATGGTGGGGAACGGAAAGATTTATCCTCCTCGCAGACAGTTGGTCATTTGCATTATTTTAGAGAGGCGTTGAGGCCACTTGGAGATTTATCTGTGTCATGATGGGACTTTCTTATTATTTTTTGAAGACGTTTCGCTTCCCATCCCGAGAAGCTTCCTCAGCTCTGATTGGATGGTGGGGAATGGAAGGATTTATCCTCCTTTCAG